GGACGCTCAAGCAACAATCTATATATTGTAAGCGACGACACAAAGATACGATCCGCGTGAAACCACTATCGGCCTGAACATTCACCAAACAATCTTCTGCGAACGGGAACACACCTGAAGAGCATACCGGCGGGATCGTGCAAGGAAGCTGGAAACACGCGTGGCTGGACTACCACGCGGAGCTTCTGGAGGCCGCGCGGTGGATGCATTTGCAAGAGCCCGGCGTACACGGCCACAGACGGGCCGAGCGCTGGAAAGAGACGCGGCCGTAAGTGCATCAGACTCTCGCCCAAGAGGCGGCCGCGTCGCGGGCATCCGGCCTCCTCCTGGCACCACCTTCGCAAACACCGTACACTCAAGCCAACCGACCGCTCCTCCCAAAGGACCCCCAAGGCGCCGCAGGGGCGCACTGGGGAGGCACGCCGGAGGCTGGCGCGGTTCAACGGAGCGGTGCAGGAAAACATCCAGGCTAAGACCTTGCGGCTACAGAGAAGCCGGCTCCCAGCGGACAGCGCTGCGCGGCGAGGGAGAAACAAGACGGCGAAGCAAGCCGACGACGGCTGGCACGGGGAGGAGGAGGAGGAGGAGGAGGAGGAGGAGGAGGAGGAGGAGGAGGAGGAGGAGGAGGAGGAGGAGGGAGGAGGGAGGAGGGAGGAGGGAGGAGGGAGGAGGAGGAGGAGAAGGAGGAGGAGTTGCGCCCGCGGCGGGCCCTTCGTCGTCCTCGTCGGCACGGCAGCGGGCCCTTCGTCGTCCTCCTCGGCAAGGCATGGGCACACGAGGCCCAGGGACATCCGCTGCCGCAGGGCTCAGGGACGCGCCCGGGCTGCAGGATGGGGGGTGGGGGGAGGAAGTATGCTCATCGAACGGGGGACCCGAAAGGGGGGTGGAGGAGGGCGAGACGCGCGATGGGCCCTCTTCGTCTTCCTCGGCACGGCACGGGCACGGAGGCCCGGGGGCCATCCCGCTGCCGCAGGGCTAGGAGACGCGCCCGGGCCGCAGGATTTTTGTTTGCCATGAACACGACCTCGGAGCACAAGCCCACGCTGCCCGTCCAGGGTCCGGTAAAGCTCGACTGACCATCCACTCCGCTTCCCTTCATGAGGGCTATACGTGCCCGGGCTGCAGGAGGAGGATGAGGAGGAGGAGGAGGAGGAGGAGGAGGAGGAGGAGGAGGAGGGGTGGGGGGGCGGGAGGTGGAGGAGGAGGTTGTGTCTGCTCTTCGGTTGTGGGCCTCTCCATCTGCAGGATGGGGAGGCCGAGGAGGAGCGCCCCTGCCCCAGGAGCGATACGCAGGGTGCTCAGGCGCGCCATGGCCCTCGCTGAGGACGAGGCGGAGGCACGACGCGCGAGGGCCGGGGCTCCTCTCGCAGGGAGAGGCTGGCACCTGGCCTTAGTTCGACGGGCTGCGCTTGCCGCTTCCCCCGCAGGGAAGGAGGAGGCGGAGGAGGAGGAGGAGAAGGAGGAGGAGGAGGAGGAGGAGGAGGAGAAGGCGGAGGAGGAGGAGGAGGAGGAGGAGCAGGAGGAGGAGGAGGAGGAGGAGGAGAAGGTAGCTTGCCACAACAATGAAGCGTTGCTTGCTTGAATGGTCGGCAGCAAGCGGGGAGACGTAAGACTCGGGTTCGGGGGACTCGGGTGGGCCTGACGGGGTCGCCATGAAAATGACGAGACCCAGTCTGAGATCTGACGTCAGCTCCCGCTGCGCATATCCCACGAAAACTGGACCGTCAAAGCCCAGGATTCCGAATTCCGGCGCACTCGAGTCTTACGTCTCCCCGAAACAAGCGCTAAGTCGGGCATGTCCTCCTACAAGCGGATTCCAGACGAAATATTAAACATAGTCCAAGTTATTTCGGCCAAATATAATTCAAAACGTCGGCCCCAGACTGTTGCTTTGACTACTTTTGAACACTCCTCCTGCAGAGGGACAGGCTCGACTGAAGACGGGCGGGGGGAAGACGGGTGCACCTCGCGTGCACCTTCGGGGCCCGAAGGGGCCCTCCCTCTCTGGGCCCCTGCCTCCTGCAGCCCTCGCCTCCCCGGCCGCAATGTGCCTCTCATTCGCCCTACGACGAGGCGCCGCCAGGATGACCGGCATCCGAGCGGGGGCACTCGAAGCAGAGGGCGCCGCCGCTCTCCCTGACGAGGACCCTGGGCGAGGGCGGGAGCGCCTTCTTCACGTCCTTCTTGAAGACCTCGCCGATGCCCACGTCGAAGACAGGGATCTTCATGTCCTGTGCCGGCATCGGCCACATGGACGAGCGATGGAAGTCATAACTGAGCGGTCTCCTCCTCCTCCTCCTCCTCCTCCTCCTCCTCCTCCTCCTCCTCCTCCTCCTCCTCCCTCCTCATGCATCTCATTCGTCTCGTCGTTGTCCACCTCCTCCTCATCCCCCTCCTCATCCAGCGATCTCTTGGCGTCGGAGATATCGACGTCGGGGGTCCTCGGGATGTCTGAGTCCTCCTCCTCCTCCTCCTCCTCCTCCTCCTCCTCTTCCTCCTCCTCCTCCTCCTTCTCATCGTCATCCTCCTACTCCCTATCCTCCTTGGAGACAGCGCTGCGGGTCCGAAAGACGAAGGCACTGGCTCGGCTCCCAGTCCGACCCTCCCGTATGACGAAGGCAGGATGAAGACGAGTGCGGCTCCAGCTTACATCGTGAATCCTTGAGGGCTGGCGGGCCTGGAAGATGCACAGGGCGCCGCGGCCGGTGCAGAGCGCCCCGAACGCCCGGAGAGCCTCCCAGAGCGCTCTGGAGCGATTCATCTTCATCCTGGGCCTACCTTCGGCAGTGGACAAACCTCCCTTTAGCAAACCTCCCTTTAGTGAAAACGGCCTGGGACCGAAACCGACGTACCCGGACCCGCAAAAATGACGGCCGCGACGCCCCCTCGCAAACCGACAACGGCCGATTCTTTCATCGACGTGTCAGGGTAGGAGGTCTATCAACCTCCGATGCCTCATCCTCCCAGCCCAGGCAACCACAAGGAACGGGGCGGACGAGAGTGGGGATGTCGGGTCGGGCGAAAGGGGGGGATAGCAAAGGGGGGGGTTGAGCATCAGCTCACGTAGCTGATTTTCCCGGCGCCTCCCGGCGCCAGAGGCGGCTATGTATCAGGGAATGGGCCCCTCGGTGAGGCCGAAACCAGCTGCATGCAGCAGATTTCGTAACCCCCCTTTCTTGGACGCCCGAGTTATCCGGGGTAACTCGGGTCCGGGGTAACTCGGGTTTGGGTTCCCGAAAAACGAACCCGAGTTAGCCCTGACCCGAGTTACCCCTGATGATTCGGGGCCCTGGACGCCCGAAATATCCGGGGTAACTCGGGTCCGGGGTAACTCGGGCTCGGATTCCCGAAAAACGAACCCGAGTTAACCCTGACCCGAGTTACCCCTGATGCTTCGGGGCTCTGACTTCCCCAATCCCCCCCCTTTCGCCCGGCCCGAGGATGGCAGAGGGGGGGCCTACCGCAGCAGCTCGCGCCGCTGGCCTCTCCAGCGCCCTCCGGGCGCCAGCGGCGCAAGGCGCGTCGAGGAGAGCGCCCAGCGAAGGGCGCCGGCGCCGGCGGCGTGCAGCAGAGCTCGTGCGTGCCGTCGGCCCGTATCACAAGGATGCGCGATGAGGATGCAAGTGGGGGGGCACGTGCGCGCCCTACCCCTACTCCAGATTTCGAAGTAAAAGGGAGGGGGTCTCAACCCTCCAAGACAAGCCATTTCAGACCCCCCCCCCCCGTGGGAGGACCCTCCCAAACATCGTCCCCAGACCCCCCCAGGCCCTCCAAGATAGCTTGGAAAAGACCCCCCCCCCGAAATGAGACCCCCCTCCCTTTATTACGAATCTGGAGTACCCCTACCCCCCACGACTTCTGAGGGGGAGGGTGGGGCTCACGTCGCTCGAGGGCTCCCGGGCGAAGTGAGCCCCAGCCTCCCCCTCAGAAGTCGTGGGGGGTAGGGGTAGGGTTCGCATGGTGGCCTCCTATCAGAGCTCGTGCGTGCAGTCGGCCCGTATCAGAAGGATGCGCGATAAGGATGCAAGGGCCTTGGACGCCCATCTCGAAGCTTTCCGAGCGGGGCCGCGGCCAACGAGAGTGGCCAAGCATGGGCCGAGGAGGCGAGGATGCAAGGGTACCGTTGGGAAGGTTGCCCATCCTTGCCATGCGGGTTGACTGAGGCGTCCCCCGCGCCTCTTGGCGCGACCCGAAAGGAGCAGAGGGGGGATCGGCGGACCGCAGACCATCCACAGCAGCGGCTGCCACGCGGTGGCCGCGCGGCCTGGCCCTCAACGGGCGCGGCGCGGTGCGCCGGACGCCCGATCAGCCTGCCTCCCGCGCTCCGCCTACTGCTCCGCGAGGCTCAGCTTGCAGCACACGTTCATGGACTGCAGCTCCTGCGACGGGAAAGCACTGCCTTGGAATCGGCCATGCCTCGCCGACGGATCGGCGATGGGCCCTCCACCGCAGAACATCGCGCGCTCCCGGGCGGGACGGGACACCTGCGAGGCGTGAGCAGGTGGGGGCCAAGATGCCTTTCGTCCCACCTGGGCGACGGAAAACTGAGGGCTCTTACGCGAGACGACGCCGCGACCCTACGCGGTGGCTAACGCGGGCCGCCAGCGCGGTGCGCTACACTGGAATCGGGGGCGCTCACGCGCGGCCTCACGAGGGGGGAGCTCACGCGCCAACGTCGGCGCGGTCGCCAACCCGTGTTCCTCCGTCGCCCGCCCCGTCGCCGCCCCCCCTGGGTCCTGGAACAGCAGCTTGCACGCGTACGGGATGCGCACCGTGGTCACGTACTCGGCGGAGCCGCAGAAGTGGCACCAGTCGGGGCGGCTCGAGAAGAGGCCGCACCTGCGGCAGACCGGCGGGTTGAAGACGTCGCTGGAGAGCATCAGCCGCTCCAGCAGCAGGTTGGAGGCCCCGTAGGCCACCAGGCAGTCCCGCTCCATCTCTCCGAGGCGCAGCCCGCCGTCCCTGGAGCGGCCCTCCGTGGGCTGCCGCGTCAGGGACATACGGGGCCCGCGCGCCCTCGCGTGCAGCTTGTCCACCACCATGTGCTTCAGCTTCTGGTAGTAGATGGGCCCGCTGAAGATGTAGGACTCGATCGGCTCGCCCGTGATCCCGCTCGTGAGGTAGTCCTTCCCCGTGGGTGCGAAGCCGTGCATGGCCAGCGTGGCGTAGATCTCCTTGGCGGGTGTGCCGCCGAAGGCGGAGCCGTCGCAGAAGATGCCCTCCATCACGGCGGCCTTGGAGCCGATGAGCTCCAGCATCTTCCCGACCGTCATGCGAGAAGGGAAACCATGTGGGTTCATGATGAGGTCGGGCCTCCACCCATTCTCCGCGAAAGGCAGGTCCTCCTCCGGCACGATGAGACCCACCACGCCTTTCTGCCCGTGCCGAGAGGCGAACTTATCCCCGAGCTCGGGACGACGGGTTTGTCGGGTGAGAATCTTGTACACCTTCATGCCATCGTTGTCCTCCGTAAGGATGACCCGGTCTACGTACGAGGAGACTGGGTTCTTGTAGCTGACGGGCGTAGCCCGGTACTCGGGTTCCACGTCCAACTGGACCAGCTGCTTGGTCTCCACAGGGGAAATCTTGTTTGCGAGAATGAACCCGTCCTCGACCTTGGCGGCCACATCCGCCACACCGTCTTCGCCTAGGCAGCTGAACCGAATATTCTGATTTCCACTGCGCCCCGCGAACTTCTCCTTCCCCACGGGCTTCGGTGGCGGTGCCAACGTCTCTGCCAAGCCGCTCGGATGACTGGTCATCGGCACAGATTCTCGCTTCATGACGAAGCACCTTCCAAAGCCGCGGTCGAGCGCAGCCTTGTTCAGGATGATTGCGTCCTCGATGTCGTAACCGCTGTAGCTCATGACGGCCACAGATGCGTTCTGGCCAGCACCCAGGTGGTAGAACCTAACCAGATTGAGGGTCTTACTGGTCACCAGCGGCTTCTGGGGGTAGACGAGACCAAGAAGGTTAGTGTCGGTCCTATTGTACATGGTCATGGCGACGGTGCCCATCGCCTGCTTGCCCATCGCGCATTCGTACGTGTTTCGCGGAGACTGGTTGTGGTGGGGATATGGAATCAAGCCAGACACCGTCCCCAGAAGCGTAAGCGGCTCGATCTCCAAGTGCGTGGTGTCCGCCTGCACGTCCTCAGGCTGCAGCGCAATGAATAAGTTGTTCTCCTCGTTCACGTCCACCCACTCCAAGATGCCCTGCTTCAGGAAGTCCGCAAACGACATGCCGCCATTCTTCTGGCTCTTGGTCAGCAGCGGCACGTGGAGTGCGGCGTCGAAACGCGGCCGACCATTCTCGACCACGATGAGAGGCCTGCACAGCCGCCCGGCGTCTGAGGCGATGAAGATGGCGTTCCAGCCCTCGTGCTCATAGATGGAAACGAACTCTCCGACTCGGCCATGCCGGCGCAGTTGCTGCAGCTGCCGCATGAAACGCCTCGGACGCCTGTGGACGCCCAAGATGTTACCGTTAAGAAACACCAGATAGTTGCCCTTGTGGTGCATCTCTTCGCCAGAGAGCGCGTGGGCGTCCTCCACGCCGAGACAGTAGCAGATGGACCGCAGCGCAGACTCGCTCTCGCCTGTGGTGATGTGCGTCAGCAGCGACAAGTGCTTGATGAGGCCGCACTGCTCGCCCTCGGGTGTGTCCGCCGGGCACAGCATGCCCCACTGCGACGGCTGCAGCGCGCGTGGGCCAGTGATCTTCATGGACTTGCCAACCTGAGACCTCACCTTCATCATGGCGCCCACCGTGCCCATATAGGCGAGGCGCGACAGTACCTGAGAGCAGCCTCCTCGGTCGATTCGGAATCGCTTGATGTTCCAGTGCCCGGTGGAGATCGAATGCTCCATGGCGTGCCTGAACCTCGAAGCCCTGTCGGACATCATTTCGTGCACGTCGGGATATTTGCTGGCGTCGCGCTTGCCAGCTCGCAGCTTGCTCAGTGTGAGATCCATCTGGTCCTTGATGTTCATATTGAGGGTCTTGAACTGATCCTCGAAGAGCAGCTCGATGAGCTGGCCCGATAGCTCGAGGCGCTTGTTCCCATAGTAGTCTTTGTCGTCTATGATCGTGGGATCGCGCTGGGCGTTAATCACACGACGGATCATCAACCCGAGGTAGCGAATTTTAGAGGCGTAGTTTCCATCTGCGCAATCAATGTGTGACAGAACCTGCTTTTCGAGAACGCTGGCGGCCGTAATTGTTGGGCCAGTTGCCCTATCCTTCTGCCAATCCTTGAGCTTCAGCTTGGTGTCTAAATACTCCAAGGCGACCTTCCGCGAGAATATGCCTTTTTCGTGGATCTCCCTGAGGTTGGGCATCAGCGCCTCGCAATACTCCCGCTCGGTGCCGACCATCTGGACGATCTCCATGTCACTCTGCACACCCATTGCCTTCATGACGATGGCCACGTTGACCTCCGTCTTGAACATGGAGTGCTTTACGTACAGCCCCTGCTTCCTGGCCCCCGGGTTGAGGCACACCACGCACCTACTCTTGTTGTCGGCGGTCGACGAGGTGACGAAAGCCTGGAGGATCTTGGACTTGCTGTCCTGCTCCACAATGATGCGGTTCACGAGCGGCTGCTCCTGCATCATGAGCAACCGCTCGGTGCCCTTGACGATGAAGTAGCCCCCAGGATCGTAGACGCATTCGCCCAGCTTCTCTAGCTCCTCGTCGGATTTCCCGTTCAACACACAAAGGCAACTCCTCAACATGACGGGCATCCAGCCGATTGTAATTTTCGGATACTTGACGATGCTGGTGCCGTTCCAGTACCTGATCGACACATCTATGGGTGCACTGTAGCTAAGGTCGCGGAGGCGGCACATGTGTGGGTTCGTTTCCATGCCCCCACCAGACTCCCAGCGCATGGGTCGACCGATGGTGATGCTGTCATACCTGAGGAACCACTTGGGGTCGGCGTCGCTCCTGACCTCTCGGTTGCTCGCCGCCTTCACGATGTCGTGGATCTTGACCTTGATCAGGTGGTTGTACGAGTCTATGTGCTGCGTGACCAGCCCCTTGTACTCTAGGAACAGGTCCACCAACCTCCACTTCTCGCTGATCGAGGACGCGGACTCCAACCCGCTCCTCTGCTGGGCGCCTTGCCCCTCCTCGGCGGGCTCCTCCTTCTCGTGCTGCCACTGCTGCCGGAACCAGTGGCCGTGCTTCACCAGCTTCGGGTAATGGTAGTGGGACATGGGGCGAGAGCGACGGGAGCGGGAGGGGAGCCGGCGGGGAGAGGGGGGACAGGTGCCGACCGGCTCATCCCGCGCGCGCCTCGAGACACCTCATCTTGAGCCAGGCTGCTGAACAGGACGGCCCCAGCGGACCGCGGGCAAATCCCCCAGCGGGCCTGCGAGAGTAAGTACTTTCCCGGGCACGATAGATACGTAGGATCATGCGTCCTGCTGTGAGAACTATGAAGGCACGTTTGAAGGGCCCTGGGACACACAAATAAACACACACACACATAACAGGATTACCCCATATTTTCCCATATTTTCTAGGTTTTCATCTCCCCCCCACACTTCCCATATTTTCCCATATTGTCTGGGGAATCGACGATTAATTGTGTCTGTGTGCTTCTTTCCCTCCTAAACGTTCGCCGTCAACCTTTGAACCTTCTGAGTTGACCCAGTGCTTCTGCTGGTGCCCAGAGCCTAAGACAGCCACGGAGCACCTGCTGCCAAGCTTGCTGATGCCTGTTGTCATCCACACAGCACCGGGTCCACAATCGCGAATTTGAGGCTCCTGCTCCTCCCTCGCCCCCTGCTCCTCCTTGTCCTCCTCCTCCTCCTCCTCCTCCTCCTCTTCTCCTCCTCCTCCTCCTCCACGCTCCCCATCCTCGCTTCTCCGAGAAGGCACGAGGACCGAGGAATCGAGGGGCGGTCGCACACATGGTGTCCTGAACGAGCGACCCCCATGCCTCTGGACTGCCTCCCTCCACTCGGCGAGGAAGCCGAGAGCGTGCGTGCGCAACTCGGCCGAGGGCGCGAGGGTGAAGCAGACCAGTGAAGGTGCAACAAATGCGCCCCGCCAGCCGCGTCCTCCACCCGCGCGCGCTCCCCGGTCCAAGACAGGGGGCCACATGCGAACCCTACCCCTACCTCCCACGATTTCTGAGGAGGAGGGTGGGGTTCACTTCGCTCGGGAGCTCCCGAACGAAGTGAACCCCACCCTCCCCCTCAGAAATCGTGGGGGGCAGAGGTAGGGTTCGCATGTGGCCCCCTACAAGACTGCCACTCCCGAGGGCGAACGTGGGCCCCCGCGGCCAGAAGCACGCCCAGGAGCACGACGCTCGCGCCACGCTCCCGCCACTCTCTGGGGTCCTGCACCTGGCCTCCTGCTCCAAGAGGGGTTCCCGCCGAGGTGTGACATCGACCCTCGAGCTTCCTTAGGCAAGCGCGCTCCACGACTCGCAGAGTCGCTGCTCGCAAATGGCCTGGATCCGCCATGGGGGGGATTCACGATATATGATATATATATATATATATATATAATAACATCGAGGCGAACGTGTTCTTTTTTTTTTCTGACGTCTGCGCGTAGGCACTCTGCGAGTAGTGGGGACGCGCTCGGTGCTTTCTGGGCTCCCCATGCGGCGGCACTCCGCAGAGGGCTGTCCCCCGCCGGCGCAACGAGCTCCCTGGGCCCGGAGCGCCCGGGGCCGCCGCGGTCCTGCAGGAAGCACAGGAGGGCCTCCAGCGAGCCCAGCGTGCTGGCCTTGACGTACACGCCCTCGGCCTGCCAGCGACCACGCGCGCCGCCGGCACAGAGATCAGGGGCCGTTCGTCGTCCTCGCCGCCCTCCCCCTCCTCCTCCCCCTCCGCCTCCCCCTCCTCCTCCTCCTCCTCCTCCTCCTCCCCCTCCTCCTCCTGCTCCTGCTCCTCCTCCTCCTCCTCCTCCTCCTCCTCCTCCTCCTCCTCCTCCTCCTCTTCCTCCTCCTCCCTCCTCCTCTCCTCCTCCCTCCCTCCTCCTCTCCCCTCCTCCTCCTCCTCCTTCTCCTCCTCCTCCTCCCCCCCTGATCAACATCCTCCTCCGCCTCCTCCTCCTCCTCCTCCTCCCTCCCCCTCCCCCTCCCCCTCCTCCCCTCCTCCTCCTCCTCCTCCTCCTCCTCCTCCTCATGCTCCTCCTGCTCCTGCCTCCTCCTCCTCCTCCTCCTCCTCCTCCTCCTCCTCCTCCTCCTCCTCCTCTTCCTCCTCCCTCCTCCTCCTCTCTCCTCCTCCTCCTCCTCCTCCTCCTCTCTCCTCTCTCCTCCTCCTCCTCCTCCTCCTCCATCTCCCCTGATCCTCATCCTCCTCCCCTCCTCCTCCTCCTCCTCCTCCTCCTCCTCCTCCTCCTCCTCCTCCTCCTCCCTCCTCCCTCCCCCCCTCCCCCTCCCCCTCTCCTCCTCCTCCTCCTCCTCCTCCTCCTACTCCTCCTCCTCCTCCTCCTCCTCCTCCTCCTCCTCCTCCTCCTCCTCCTCCTCATGCTCCCCTGCTCCTGCTCCTCCTCCTCCTCCTCCTCCTCCACCTCCTCCTCCTCCTCCTCCTCCTCCTCCCCCTCCTCCTCCTCCTCCTCCTCCTCCTCCTCCTCCTCCTCCGCCTCCTCCTCCCTCTCGGCGCTCGCCCACCGCAGGGAGGGACGACGGGGCCGGCCAGCGAAAGGTCGGCCGCCACGCCCGCTCGAGAGCGGGGAGGAGAGGAGGCGGGGGAGGGAGCGGGTGGTTGGCAGCGGGCGGGGGGACGGGAGGCCGAGGCTGGCCGGAGGAAGCATGAGCATCGTTTGACCGATCCCCATCCCCGCCAGCGTGGGCTGGGCCCCACGGGCCGATTTGCCCCCCCTGATGGGGATATGGGCTGCGCTCTTCGGGCTTCGAGGGGCATGTCCCCAGCTGAGGTGGTGAGACGGTGGGGCCCGAGATGCGGATGGGGATGGTCGATGGGGGCAGGGATCGGTTAAACGATACTGAAAGCAGGCGGTCTGGCCGGCAGGGGGGGTGTGGGTGGCAGGGGCGCCGTCAAGGGACGCGACGCGTGCAGTGCCTGCGCCGTCAGGCTCAAGATGCCTCCACCTTCCGCCCCGAGGAGCCCTCTCTGCATGGTCGACGTGCCGACACAGCGAGATGCTCCTGCCCACAAGCGCCGCGTTCTGGTTCCCGTAAACGACCGATCCTGTGAGAGCTCACTGACGCCCTGAGAAGCTACATCCACCCAAGGAATCACAGTGGTCTGGCGTGGTGGCGGAGTGCTGAAGGACATGCAAGCCCAGTAAGTCGCAAATATAGCGGCGCGGCGGCGACGGGATGCCCGCCGCAGCTTATGGCGAAAACTATGAAAGCTACACTCAGCCGAGGAACCGGGGTTTCGTGACCAGGCGGGGTGTCCGGCGCAACCTCCTGCGCAACGAATGGCGCCCCCTGTGGAAATGTGCGGAACCAATGGCGCAACCTGTTAGCGGTGGACTCACCCAGGAAATCGCGACCTGGTGGAGTGGGGGAGCGTATGGCGCAGATGTTGCAAGGTTGCATTTACTTGGGAAGTGGCAATTTGGTGGTGTGGCACGGGGCCTGCCGGCTGGTGCAGCCCGTGACGTAACCCTTGAAATGTCGACTCACCTGGGAAATCGCGATGTGCGCGACCTATGGCACACGTCCTCCCCTGGAGATGTCCAGAACCAGCGCGCACGAAGGACTACGAACGTCTGTCGTGACATCCCGCACCCAAGGAGATTTGCTATCTCTTGGGGAACATGTTCGTGTTACGTCTATCCACATGCTGTGTATGGTCTCGTGGCAGGATGATTTTTGTTGGAAACGTCGGAAGTGAGGGTTCTGCACCGACCGATCCCTCCCGCACGCTCGAACCTCTGGCTCTCTTGGTGCCCATCACAAAGTGCGGCAAACGAGGGCACAGAAGCTGGCTGGACGCACACGGGGGGGGGGTCGCTCAGGGCTCACCGACGTCGCGTGTCCCGGGCGGCGGGCTTCCCAGAGCCTGCTTCTCAAAGCTGTTGAGGATGCTGTCGAACTCGTCGTCCACGTTGTCCTCGGGGAGCGGCCAGCAACGAAACTTGAGATCTGGTGGGGATCTTGCCGCGCGGGCCGCAGGCCCCCTTGACGCCTCGCCCAGCGCGACCAAACCGGAGCACAACTCTCCCCAAGCCCTTTTCGCAGAGCATGCATGTTGCTGATGAGTCTGCTTATGTATTACGCGCCTTCACTGTTTTTGTTTTTAATAACAAATAATAGCACATAATATATATATATATATATATATATATATATATATAAAAAAAAAAACGCGCCTTCACTTTGGAGCCACTACCTTGGGCGATTGGCACGTTCACTTCTTACCTCTAGGCTGCATATGCCACAGAAGCCTTTGGTCGAGCATCAAGGCCGGACGCAGCTAGCGGGGCCAAAAAACGGACTCGAGAACAGCAACGTCAGCATGCTGCTGGAGGCAATACGCACGTCCCCTCTGGGTGGGAGCCCACGCGTTCTACCTGTGGCATTCTGGGCGAAGCGGGGCTACGATCGGGACTGTAACCCGCGGGCGCCTTATCACCTCTCCGCACCCCCCCCCCACTTACCGCACCCCCATCACTCAACGCCCTGGGGGTGCTGGCGCTCCCCGCGCCAGACGCGTTGCCACCCCGCCCCCCTGCGTCCCGAAGGGCCCCGCGCGGGGGGGGGAGCGGGCAGTCGCCCGCCCCGCGGGTGCGCGGCCTCTCGGCCGAGGGGGCGGGGGAGCGGCGCCGCGCGCTGCCGTCCTGCGGCCGACGAGCGGCGGCTCAAAGACAGGGTCCTGAGGGGTGGGATCTCGAGGACACCGCCGCCCCCTCCCCCCCGCCTGGTCGCGCGGGGCTGACGGACCCCCCCCCCGAGCGGAGACTCCCTCCCCCCCCCCAGCGCGGAGTCCTTCCAGGCGCAGGAGGGCTCACTAACAGTACTACCTCGCGGCGGGCTGGGCTCTCGAGCCCGTCACTCGGTGGTTCCAAGATGGGGTCCTGAGGGATGGGGTCCTGAGGACGAGGTGATTCAAAGCATGTAAGTCCCCCCTTGGCGCCCTTTCCATCCTGTTTGGCGTCGCGGCCCCGCGCGCGGCGACGGGGCGTAGAAAGTCAAGTGCAAGCGGCAAAATGCGCGCGTCTACGCCCGACCGAAGTCACGAAGACCACTGAGAGTTTCGCAGCCGTCAGCAGAAAAAGTCCCTCCTTTCCTGTCATCACGACGCCATAGCTCAGGACCCTATTTTGAACCAACGAAAAGACCTCAATGGCCCAGCCCGCGGCGGGGTAATACTACAGTATGTCCTCCTGCGTCCAGGAGGGAAACCCCCTTTGATCCCTTCCTGTCCTTGGGGCCCCATCCTTCAGGCCCCCACCCTTGATGGCCCAGCCCGCGCCGAGGTAAATCACCCCCTTGAATCCCTTCCTGTCCTTGGGACCCTACCCCTCAGGACCCCATCTTTAACCACCAAGACTGGCTCGATGGCTCATCGGGATCCACTAAAGGGGGAATGACCGTGAGGGGGGGCGTGAGTTCGATCCGGTGGTGCACCGAACTGCCGCGAACAGATGCCCCCCGCATGCACCACCCATCGACAACCATCGGGAGCTGCTGGCGGCTGGGGGGCATCTGCCTTGGGCGGTTCGGTGCAAAGCCCGATCGAACTCTCTCTCTCTCTCTCTCTCTCTCTGTCTCACACACACACGGGGCACACACACACACGCCCTCTTGCGGGATCCCGAGCTCAGCCCGCGGCGGGGCAGCACTGCATAATCATTATGCCCTCCTGCGCCCCGGAGGCAGATGCCCCCCCTCGGACCCCTCCCCGTCCTTCGGACCCCGGCCCTCGGGACCCCAGCCCTGAGCCGCCGCTCGTCGGCCGCAGAGCGGCGGCGCGCGGCGCCGCTCCCCCGCCCCTGCCTCTCCCCGGCAGAGGGGCCGCGCGGCCGCGGGGCGGGAGGCTGCCCGCCCCAGGCGCGGAGCCCTTCGGGGCGCAGGGGGACACACCAGGAGGACACACGAAGTGCTGCGCGTATGTATCTATACATATATATACATATATATATGTGTGTATCTATGTATCGACTAGTGCGTCTCTGGAGGAGTGCCTCCGACCAGATCAGATACGTACCACGAGCATCTTGGAGGCGTGCGCTCGACCAGATCACATCGACTAGTGCGTCTCGGGAGGCGTGCGTTCGCCCAGATCATATCGACTAGTGCGTCTATGGAGGCGTGCGTCCGACCAAATCACACAATCACAATACAGACATCTTGTAGTGCATCGCTTCGCGACCGGCATGGTCAGCAAGCGCCCGCCAGCGCGCACGTGCTGCAAGATTTCTTGGCGCGCGCGTCGCCCATTCGGAGGCGACGCGCACACAGTACTCGTACATATGGGCGGCGCCGATCCTTCAGCTCCTCCAGGTCGTCGTCGGGGCCCACCACCTGGCCGCGCGAAGTCTCGCCATCGGCTCGAAGAGGAGATCTGCGGAGACTCGAAGAAGAAGACTAAGCACTTAGGCGCGAAGACACGGATCATGCATGCTCGAAGAGGCTACGGGTACCAAGCGATGCCCGAAGAGACGAAACCATCGTTCCCACCAAGTTTCGAAGGTTCGCGCGGAGTTCTTGGATCGGCGCTGGACCCCCATTGCGGCGACTCCGGCGATCCCTTGCGGCGCCTTCAGGGAGGGGTCGGGAGCCGATACAACAAAGTTACGTGGACCTCCGAAAGTCGATGCTTACGAAGTCTGTCTGCTCTTCTTCGATCGGCCTCCGATAGGGTGGGGGGGGCAGAACTACCTTCAGCAGAGCACCCTCTTTGGCGGCGCGCACAAGGGTGTGGAGGGAGGGGGGAAGGCTTCTTAGAAGGAGGCTGCTTCTTAGAAGGCGCCGGCCTCACATCCATAGAGAATGCCTGCGCCTTCTAAGAAGCAGAGGTGCTTCTAGGAAGCCCTCCCCAGGGGTGCTTCTAGGAAGCCCTCCCCTCTCCCCCTGCCCCCCTAAGCGCGTGGCTCACCTTTCGTGAAGACGCCACTTGGGGAAGACACCCTGCAGAGAAGAGCATGCCCAGAAAAAAAGAAGGACGGATGGCAGGCACCCCCTCGGAGGAAGACCAGCAGATATGGACCCCACGGGCGTCCCGTCGGGGGTCCGAGCCACCCCCGACTCGAAGAGGATCGAGGATGGTCGAGGACTACGGTAGGATCGGTGATGGACGATGCTGATCGGCCCGATGATCATCGATCATGGTGATCGATGATGATCGGCTCGATCAGCCCCCGACACAAGGAGGATCGATGAGAATCGAAGACCTGGGTCGGGTGTTGCTAGCAGTGCCCCTGACCCAGAGTGGCCCCAGGATTTGCAGGGAGGCCCCTACGATCTCCAGAGCACCCCTCACGAGGCCCAGAGGGCCCTCAGGGGCTCCAGCATTGAACGAAAAGCTGGGGGCACCTTGGACCAGGGGCACCTCTAGCAGCCCCCGTTCGGTGGGTTCTGGGGCATGCGTCTCGAGCTTCCGGGGGCCCCTCTGCGAGACGTTGGGTGGCGGCCCCTGGCATCCGGCTACGTGAGTTTCTTCCGCCCTCAGCCGCGCGGCAGCAGCTGGATGGCCAGCTGCTCCAGGCGTGTTGTCGTCGTCGTCGTGTTCGTCGTCGTCGTCGTCGTCGTCGTCGTCGCCGCCGCCGCCGCCGTCGTCGTCGTCGTCGTCGTCGTCGTCGTCGTCGTCGTCGTCGTCGTCGTCGTCTTTGTCATCGTCGTCGTCCTCGACGTCGTCGTCGTCGTCGTTGTCGTCGCCGTCGTCGTCGTCGTCGTCGTCATCGTCCTCCTCGTCGTCATCGTCGTCCTCGTCGTCATTGTCCTCGTCGTCGTCGTCGTGGTCGTCGTCGTCCTCGTCGTCGTCATCCTCCTCCTCGTCGTCGTCTTCGTCGCCGCCGTCGTCGTCGTCGTCTTTTCTTCGTCGTCGTCGTCTCGACCTCTCCCTGGTGGCAATTTTTGTGTCGCCCCGGGGGGCCATGCTTTTGATGGCCTGGGGGCCCGAAGCCAGCCCAGGGAGCCCGAGACCGCCCCAAGAGGAGGCCAGAATGCAGAGAAAAAACAGCATGCAAACACCTCCTCCCCTCTTCCACCTCCTCCTCCTCCTCCTCCTCCTCCTCCTTGTCCTCCTTCCCTGCCTCCTCCTCCTCCTCCTCCTCCTCCACCTCCTCTCCTCCTCCTCCTCCTCCTCCTCCCCTGCCTCCTCCTCCTCCTCCTCCTCCTCCTCCTTCCCTGCCTCCTCCGCCTCCTCCTCCTCCTCCTCCTCCTCCTCCTCGACCTCCTCCTCCTTCTCCTCCTCCTCCCAATCCGTGGGATGTCTGGGTCCAGATCCAGGAGAGCACTGAGACTGCGAGGCGGGGATGTATCTATAGCCACCGCCTGGGGGATCGACTTCCAGGGACCTCGGCGGGCGGTGGACGCGGATATGCTCGGGCCCTGGGGGTGGGGGCAGGTGGTATCCACATGCGCGGCCTGCCGAGGTCCCCGTCGATCCCCCAGGCGGTGGTCCAGGAGGAGGAGGAGGAGGAGGAGGAGGAGGAGGAGGAGGAGGAGGAGGAGGTGGAGGAGGAGAGGGAGGAGGAGGAGGAGGCGGGGGTAGGGTCAAGGGAGGGGAGGAGGAGGAGGAGGAGGAGGAGGAGGAGGAGGAGGAGGAGGAGGAGGACGAGAGGAGGTGGAGGAGAAGGAGGAGGAGAAGAGGAGGAGGAGGAGGCGGAGAAGGAGGAGGAGGCGGGGTTAGGGTCGAGGGAGGGGGAGGAGGAGGAGGAGGAGGAGGAGGAGGAGAGGAGGAGGAGGAGAAGGAGGAGGAGGGAGGAGGAGGAGGAGAGGAGGGAGGAGGAGGAGGAGGAGAAGGAGGCGAAGGAGGAGGAGGAGGGAGGAGGCAGGAGGGGGAGGAGGAGAAGAGGAGGAGGAGTAGGAGGAGGCGGAAAAGAAGGATGAGGATGAGGAGGAGGACGAGGAAGAAGAGGAGGAGGAGGAGGAAAAATAGGAAGAGGAAGGGGGGGGGACTGGTGCACACCCCAGACGCAAGCCCCGAAGCCGCCAACAGCACAGCTCAGCCCTCGCCCTGGCCTGGGCAGAGCCAGGCTGGCGCCGGCCGCCCGAGCGCTCCCCCGCGCGCGCCCGCAAAAGCGGGGGGCGCAGCGGCTGCCCTTGGCGCCCGCGCCGCGCCCCAGGCCAGAGCCCGAGCCGGAGCGCGCGACCCGAGCGGATGCTGCGGTCCAGGGTGGTGGCGCCATCGAAACTTCCGGTGGCAGCTCACGGGAGCCTCCCATGCCATCTTGTCGGCTCTTGCGAATCGACGCCAGCCGACGCTAGATCGACGCTGAATCGACGCTCATCGACGCCAGTCGACGCTAAATCAGGCTATCCCATGGACTCCCAGCCGCTCCTCGACGCTAGTCGACGCGAAACACGGGATGGAGAGGGCACACCAGGCTCCCATGATTCGCTACCGAAGAAACTGATGCCGTGCGGACGCGGCCGCAAGAAGCCCTCGCAGGAAGCCCAACCCTGAAGACACGCGCGAGGACTGCGACCAGGGGGAAGCCCAAGGCACCCGGAACGCAGCAACTTGAATGGCCGCGGCGAGCCACCGCGCAGCGCGCAGAGCGAAGAAACCCAGGGTACCCCGACGAAAAGCAAATGGTTTCTTGATGCGCGCCTCCACTACACAGCAGATAATACGATCAAGGAAACTACCGCTCAAGAAATCTGCGACAGCTTCCCGAAGTTTCTCAAGACAGACCCGGGCCAACGTCTGTTGTTCACGCTGGGGGGGGCGAGCGTGCTCCAGAAACCGTGAGAACTTTCTGGCAAGTTGGCTAAGAGACACTGGCCCACTTTCTAGAGGGGAATGCTTGAACCGTATGCCCGATTGTAATAAGGTTGCGCGATAAAGATGCAAGCCCCTTGGACACCCGTGTTGCAATTTTTCGAGCGCGGCGGGCCATCGAAAGTAGTCAAGGACGGACCGAAGAGACAAGGATACGAGGGTGCCCTTGGGAGGGTCACACGCTCTACCCTCGGCTTCGACTGTATCGGACCGACGGCAATGCAGGTGAACCATCGATGGCGATCCGCTCAACAGCCGTCAGAGGGCTGCTCGCGGAGGTCTGGAGCACAGGGCGGAGACTGTGATAGGCCGATTTTCCACCACCACTACCATGGGAAGGAGAGGGGGAAGAGGAGGAGGAGGAGGAGGAGGAGGAGGAGGAGGAGGAGGAGGAGGAGGAAGAGGACCTCCCCATCCTCCCTTCTCCCCCCGTCCTGCCTATCATAGTGGTGGTGGTGGTGGAAAACTGGCCCATCATGCAGACTGGGGCGCTATACGGCTCGGGATCGGATCGGCTCGCGCCCGAGCCGGCGCAACATCGGATATCGAGATCGCACCGTGTTTGGGGTCGCGGCGATCAGGCTCGGCCCCTGCAGTTGCCAAGGAGCTCGTCCTCCTCCTCCTCCTCCTCCTCCTCCTCCTCCTCCTCCTCCTCCTCCTCCCCTCCCTCCCTCCCTCCCTCCCTCCCTCCCTCCCTCCCTCCCTCCCTCCCTCCCTCCCTCCCTCTCTCTCCCTCCCTCCTCTTCCTCTTCCTCCCCCCTCCCCCCTCCCTCCCTCCCTCCCTCCTTTCCGTGTCGGACTGCATCGGAGCAGGAGTCGAAAGGTTGGGGATCGGACATCGAGCTGCACCGCGAGCGGCCCTGGCGCTCCCGTGGTCGAGCTCCTCGCCCGGGGCCCGGGGATGAGGGGCAACGATCGGGGGGGGACTGGCGTATGACTACCTACCAAGCCACCCCAACCCAACCCGAAGACCCGAATTTCGGGTTGGGGGGGGGTCCGGCTTCGCATGTGTTGTCTCAAAGTTCCCCGACCCCCCCCCCCAACTGGAAATGGAGGGCAAATCGGGGCCGTCGGGTTGGGTTGAGTTGGTTTGAGCATAAGGGGGGCGCATCGACCTGGAATCGGCGATACATCGCCGATATAGATCGGCGAGAGGCGCCCGAGTGAGTGCATCCGCACCTTCCTGGGCAGGTTGGGGCTACTTCGGGCCCCTGTTGGCGATCAATGGGCGATTGGGGTCGATGCATCCCCCTTATTAGAAGACGAACAACGACGTGAACATAAACTTTTGGCGCTCCGCGCGGATTTCTTGGATTCGCACTGGGCCCCCCGCCCTGGTGCGCGGAGCGCGCCAGGGGCGGCGCCGGAGGCGCCGCCGGGGGGGGCCCAGGCGCGGATCAGGAAATCTGCGCGGAGCGCCAAAAGTTTAGGCTTACGCGGTTACTCCAGATTTCGTAATACAGGGAGGGGGGTCTCATTTCGGGGGGGGGCCTCTTCCAGGCTGTCTTGGAGGGGTCTGGAAACGATGTCTTGGAGGGTTCTCCCACGGGGGAGGTCTGCAATGGCTTGTCTTGGAGGGTCCAGACCCCCTCGCTTTTATCACGAAGTCTGGAGCACGTTCTTCTTCTTCTGCTTCTGCCCGTCCCCCCCCCCCCTCTCGCTGCCCCCAAAGGGCCTCGCCGCCGGGGGGGCCCAGGCGCGGATCAGGAAATCTGCGCGGAGCGCCAAAAGTTTATGCTCACGTGGTTTTATTTTTATTATTATTATTATTATTATTCTCCTACTTCTGCCCGTCCCCCCCTCTCGCTGCCCCCAAAGGGCCTCGGCGCGGATCTCGGGCCGCGCGCCGCCCCGGTGGGCCCGCGGGCTCGGCGGCGCCCGGGCGCTGCGGCCGGGAGCGCGCGGCGCGGCCCCGCCCCGCCCTGCGGGAGAGGCGCGCCGGGGCCCGGCCCCTGCGGCCCCACGCCGCTGGCCTGCGCCCCTCCGCCGGCCGCCCCCCTCGCGGCGGCGAGCGAGGGGGGGGGGGGGCAGGCGAGAAGGCGACGGCCTCCTTCCCGGAATCCGGCGCGCGGCAACGGGGGGGGAGGCCCAGCGGTGGGTGGAGAACAGGGGCCTAGAGCACCTGCTGGCTCCAACAAGAGGCCCCATAGAGGGCCCCTTTAGGGCCTTTTGTTCCACCCCCGATTTGGGTCACCCCCCATTGCCGCCCGCCCGACGGAAGGCGGCGGGACTTTCCGGAGGCCCTCCTGCCTTCCGAGAAGACTTCCGTGCCTTCGGGGGATGCTCTGAGAGCACCTCTCCGAAGGCCGGGGGACTGCCGAGCCTCCCGAGAAGGCCCGCCCGATCTCACTTCCCTCGGCGGTGGACAAACCTCCCTTTAGTAAACCTCTCTATAGTGAAGACTGCCTAGGGCCGAAACCGACGGACCTGGACCCTCAAAAATGACGGCCGCGACGCCCTCTCGCGAACCGAAAACTGTCAATTCGCTAATCGGCGTGTCAGGGGAGGAGGTTTATCAACCTCCGAATTCCCCCCCTCGCGCGCCGCCGATTCTTCCTCCCTCCTCGAGCACAGGTCTCACAGTCCGCCCCACCAGCACAACGTGCTGCCCGCCGCTGCCCTTCGCTCGGCTGCCGTGCACGCAGTTGCGCCGCGGCTGAGGGGGTGCCAGTGGCCCAGCCCGGTGCCTGGAGCGGCGGTGCCTGGGCGGCGCGGCGCGCCACCTCCTCCCTCCTGCCCGAGCGGCTGCCCCTGGTAGACAGGGCAGCGGGGAGCCAGCTGCAGTCGGTGCTCACGGAGGCCCCCGGCCGACCGCTCGGGCGAGGCCGACTGCTGCGCGTGCTCCCTCCTTCCTCGCTTCCCGCGGGCCTCCCTCCCTCGCCCTGCAAAAAGGCGATGGCGGCACCCCGCGGCCGCGCGCTCTGCCCGTCGCGGGCTCCGTGCGGGCGCGGTCCTGGTGCGGTGCGGCTGCTGCGCCGCCCGTCCTGTGTCTGATGCCTGGGTCGGGGGCGCTCGCCCACGGGTGTTCGAATCCCGAGAGCGGCGCACCGCCCGATCCGACTTTCTTCTTTCGGCGACGAGGACGACGACGACGAGGAGGACGGGGACGAGGACGACGAGGACGAGGACGAGGACGAGGACGAGGACGACGACTACCTCCTTCCTCTTCCCTCTTTGCCTTCCCCTCCCGTTCTCCAGCTCCTCCTGGCCCTTCCCTCCCACTCTCCTCGGCCTCCCTTCTTCTTCATTCCCTCCTCCTTCTTCCCCCCTCCCTCCTCCATCCTGCCCGCTCCTCTTCGAGGAAGGAGGCGGGGACAAGGAGGAGGAAAGAAGCGGAGGCACAACGGGCGAGGACCACTGACGAAGACGACGAACCGAACGAACAAATACGTACACGACGACAACGAACGACGGTGGCGCGGGGCGGCCCAGGGGGGCCGCCTGGAGCTCGGTGCCGGCAACCGCCTGGTCCAGGCCGGGGGCGCAGATCTTGACGCCCATGGACTGGGAGGGAGGAAGGAGCAGTTCCGAGCAGAGCAGTACCAGTGGGGAGGAGGAGGAGGAGGAGGAGGAGGAGGAGGAGGAGGAGGAGGAGGAGGAGGAGGGAGGAAGGAGCAGTTCCGAGCAGAGCAGCACCAGTGGTCCATGGACTGGGAGGGAGGAAGCGTCCAGCGCACTCCTCGCATGTCTTGCACCACGGGCCGTCCTTGGGCAAGCTTCGAGGGGCGTTGGGTCACTGGCAGACCGTTTTGGAGGCCCAACCACAGACTCCGAAGATGGGCGGCCCCAGCACCGCAGCCCACGTGACATGCAGGTCGCCCGCGCTGCTCCCCGAAAACATGCGCGGAGTCAGTCCCCGAACATTGGCGAGGACGAGGAGGAGAAGGACCAGTGGTCCGATGAGAGAGCCTCCTCTAACCAGGCGTGGCAGCCAGAGGACCAAAAATGGAAGATTGCGGACAAGGCGTTCGAGAACCACCCATGGGGCTCGAGAGTAATTATGATGGGCCCTGCGGGGGGATAGGTGAAAGAGAGACCAGGGAGAAGGGAGGAGGGCGGAGGAGGAGGAGGAGGAGGAGGAGGAGAGGAGGAGGAGGAGGAGTAGGAGGAGGAGGAGGAGGAGGAGGAGGAGGAGGAGGAGGATCAGGGCGGAGGAGGAGGAGGAGGAGGCGGAGGAGGAGGAGGAGAAGCATGTGAAATTGGGGGGCCAGACCCATGATGCATCAGCGATGCTCCATACACCCTCCCGGTTGAACACTGCTGCGCTGGGCGCCCAAAGGGCAAGGTCCTTGGGACCCTCCCGGAGCAATTCGACGCCGCCTCCCGAGGCGCGGCCGCCGCGTGCGCCGAGCTTCAGCTGATGCAGGACGCGCCAGCGGAGCTCGTCCTGTTGCGCGCCTCCGCCAGAGCCAGCAGGGTTGCTCACCTGCCGCGGGCGGCCGCGCCGGACCTCGACCCCTCGCAGGCAGCTGTGTTCCACCGTGGGCAGCGCCACGCCCTGGGCGCCATGCTGGGGTGGCCGCTCTCCGACAGGGTGCTCCCCAAGGAGGCCCCCATGAGGCTCCCTTGCTCCGTTTCCGGGAGAATCCCAGGAAAGCAAGCGACCAATTCCACACCGGCACCTCCGCGTGGGACGTCCAAACCGGCTCCCCGAGCGTCCCCAAGGAGACCCTCAGAGGCCCCTTGCTCCGTTGATGGGAAGTCTGGGAAATCCGGCGACGAATTCCAAGCCAGCGCCATCGCGTGGGACACCCTCAAAAATTGCCCCCCCCGAGTGTCGCCAAGAAGGCGCCCCGCGCAGGGGCGCGCCGGGGCGCAGCGGGCGTGTACCAGTCGGAGGCTCTCGCTGGAGACATCCTCTCAGAGTCAACCCCGGGCGCGCGCGACAGTCAGGCCCCACAGCGCCCCTGTAGGGACCATTTCTGGGGCTCTGCGGGCGCGCGCCAGGGCGCACCGGGCGTGTCCCAGTCGGGGGCTGTCGCTCGAGACATCCTCGCAAAAGTCGATCCAGGCGTGTCCCAATCTGGGGCTCCCGCTCGAGACACGTTCGCAAAGTCGCCAAATCGCCCCCCGAGGGAGGCCCCCGAAGACGATGACGAGGATGAGCAGGGAGGAAGACGTGGGAGGACGGAGGAGGGGAGAAGGAGGGAAGAGGTGGAGGAGGAGGAGGAGGAGGAGGAGGAGGAGGCGAAGGAGGAGGAGGAGGATGGCGAGGAGAAGGAGGGGGAAGAGGAGGGGGAGGAGGAGGAGGAGGAGGAGGAGGAGGAGGAGGAGGAGGAGGAGGAGGAGGAGGACGACGACGACGAGAGCTGGAGGAGGAGGAGGAGGAGGAGGAGACTAGGAGGAGGTGGAGGTGGAGGAAGAAAAAGAAGAGGAGGAGGAGGAGGAACGCCCTCCAGGAACCTCACGAGATTTCCAAGGAGGATGTGGAAAAGAAAATGAAGGTTTCCAGCATGGGAGCGGGAGGGGCTGGATGCGACCGCCTTCCGCTCATTTCCCTCTCGCCCACAAACGCACGCCCTTCTTCCATATAAAGAAACTCCCGATCAACCGCAGAGCGACTGGCTAGTCACAAAGCGTCCTAGCTTACGCGCAAGACTTCAAGTACACCATTACTTCGAATGGAAGTTGTTCCTGGAGACTCCAATGGTCTTCGGGAACGGGCCGTACCCCAGCCCTTCACAACACAAACTGTCGATAGCAATACCGATTCGATGGACGATTACTAGCACTAGCCGCTTTTATTCCAGCATGCGCGATGCCACGCATAATCGCACGTGTCAACAGCATAAGCCAGAGAGGCGCGAACCAAACATAAGGACATGAATCGTAACGACTGTAGAGGTGACGATCTGCGTTGAATGCACAGTTCTTACAGGAAATGCATTCGTCACCGAATCAAACATAAACACATACGCAACTAAAGCATGGAGCCAGCTGCCAGTAAACTAGGCACTTTTATCTGGACGCGCGCTGCTGGGCGAGGAGGAGGAGGAGGAGGAAAAGGTGGAGGCGAGGAAAACAAGTTGGTTGAGGATGTGACGAGGAGAATCTCACTGATCCCGTTGCACGGGCTCTTACGCTGGCGGCCCAAATCATCGGAGTGAACCCGACCCTCCCTCCGCCCATCCGCAGCTCAAAGTTTGCCGTGGGTTTGCCGCGGGGCCGGCTTCGTCTGCTAGTGCGCGGGACGCAGGGTTTGCCGTGGGTTTGCCGTGGTGTCGGCGTCCTCAGCCTGATCGCGCCGAAAACAAACGGCACGGCGACATGTTCAGTCTTTGATCACGCACGTGCCTTTCTTGTCAGCACGTGCGTTGGTGATCATGCATGTGCCGTCCTGTCTCAGCAAGAGATGTAAGACGCAACGGCCATCCCGCCAATGTCTATACAGCCCAAAAAGAAGGAGGACGCCAGCGACGGCGACCGCGAGGAGCCAGGGAGGAGTAGGACGGACCATGGCTGCCTGGTTGATCATGGCATGGTGGACGTACTCGTTCTTGACCCGCATCTCCTGCCCCCCATCCCTCCGTTGAGGTCTCCAGCCCCTATGCCGCGGCCGAGGTGCAGACCAGCAAACCCTCCTCTCCCTCCTACCCGCCCCCGTCGTCATCATCATCATCAACATCATCAGCATCATCACCACAACAACCATCATCAGCATCATCATCAGCATCATCATCAGCGTCGTCGTCATCATCGCCATCGTCATCAGCAACAGCATCGGTATCAGCATCATTACCATCATCATCACCACCATCATTATCGCCATCATCACATCATCATGATCGTCATCATCATCATCACCACCATCATCATCGGCAACACCATCGTCAACATTACCATCATCATCATCAGCATCATCAATATCGTCATGGCCATCATCATCAGTAGCATCGCGATCGTCATCGTCGTTATCGTCATCGTCATCATCATCATCATCATCAGCAGCAGCATCATCATCACCATCATCATGATAATCAGTATCACCACCACCATAAGCATCACCATCGCCATCACCATTACCAGTACCATTACCCTCATCCCCCTCCCCCTCCTTCTCCTCCTCCTCCTCCTCCTCATCATCAGAGACATTATCCTCTTCATCATCATCA